AGCTGCTGATCAGTTTCAGCAGCAGCTGACTTGGGGACACCTGGGGTTCTTAAGTTGAATCTGTATGCCAGATTCAGCCACTGTTGAAACTGATCAGTTTCAGCAGCGGCTGAATCTGGACGCCAGTTCCGACTTACATACAGATTCAACTTAAGAACAAACCTACAGTCCCTATCTTGTACGTAACCCGGGAACTGCCTGTACTTAGTTCCTGGCAGTAAATGAGCAGAGATTCACTGCTGTTCTTTGAGCTTCTGTATTTTTGCACCAGATTCAGCCACTGTTGAAACTGATCAGTTTCAGCAGCGGCTGAATCTGGACGCCAGTTCCGACTTACATACAGATTCAACTTAAGAACAAACCTACAGTCCCTATCTTGTACGTAACCCGGGAACTGCCTGTACTTAGTTCCTGGCAGTAAATGAGCAGAGATTCACTGCTGTTCTTTGAGCTTCTGTATTTTTGCAAAGGACCATATATGTGGAGAAAGCTGTTGCACATGCATTTAATGAAGTTTGACATAACAATGAGGATTTTACATGTGCAAAACTGATGCATGCTTTATTTTTTGCAAGGGGGGGGAATGAGGAGGAGACAATGTAGTCTAATGTATGCAAAGAAAATTGCACATGAGCAGGTGTGGCGTGACATCACAGCCCGGGACTTTAAAACCGCCTGGCCCAGAGTTGTACCGGGCGGCCCAGCTCCAGGTCCGGCATGTGGCCTGGTCTGGAATCCCAGCAGCAGCTGGGGCCCGATCACAGACTCCAGCCCCACAAACTGGAAGACAGAAGCCAGGTAGGGGAAGGGATGGGGGAAAAAATAGGGGAAAGGGTGGGAGAGGAAGGGGCTTGTGCTTGAGATGAAAATGCCCTGGGGTTTGGGCTTCCCCTGGAGTATTTGTGTGCACACCCCCAGCAAGCCGCGCAAGCTGCATTTGCATGTGCACCCTCCCCGGACAAAAAAAGGGGGGGGGAGTTTTTTGCTTGGGGTGACAAAAAACCTAGAGCCTGCCCTGGACACAGGGGCTGTGTCTACACTGGCCACATAACCCGGAATAGCTATGGAAATGAGAGAAGTCAGAATAGGGAAATGCGCGGGGGATTTAAATATCCCCCACGGGATTTAAATAAACATGGCTGCCGCTTTTTTCCGGCTTGGGGAAAAGCCGGAAAAGAGCGTCCAGACTGGCGCGATCCTCCGGAATAAAGCCCTATTCCGGAGGATCTCTTATTCCTACTAGCAAGTAGGAAATAGGAATAAGAGATCCTCCGGAATAGGGCTTTATTCCAGAGGATCGCGCCAGTCTGGATGCTCTTTTCCGGCTTTTCCCCAAGCCGGAAAAAAGCGGCGGCCATGTTTATTTAAATCCCGTGGGGGATATTTAAATCCCCCGCGCATTTCCCTATTTTGACTTCTCTCATTTCCATAGCTATTCCGGGTTATGTGGCCACTGTATAGACACAGCCAGGGAAAGGGGGAGGGGAATGCAGGGGTGACGTAAAAAAGGATGAGGGGCACGCAAGAGTGACGTCATGGGGAGGGCCGTTCTCAACCCATTTCCCGGGCCTATTTTGATTGCCAGTCCGCCCCTGTTCCAATGTTAAGGTTTTCATTCTGAAAAACAGAAAAGTCCAGTCTGGAAGGCAAATAGAGGATTAACTTGAGCCAGTTCAATTTCTTTATGATTCTTTTTGTCTTACCCTTCTTCAAATCCCCACCCATGCTTGAGCATTATTAATCTACAGCCGGAGGTTTTAATCTCCTCTCTACATTCCAGTGGCCAGATGTTTGGTTCTTTCCAATCTCTTGCATCTGGCCAGCTTGAAATGACCACTGGCATTAGCATCTTGAAATGCACATGGCAGAAGGAAAGCAACCAAGGATCTTTTAGTTTTTCAGCTGGTGCTGAAGACACAAGAGGGAAGCCAAATGGGGTGTGAGTGGCAATAAAGAATTCTTCTCATTACCATCATGGGCTGCTGCGAGAGCTGGTGGAATCTCACAGCTCTCTCCAGAAGCAGCAACATGAAGATAGATGTGTTCCCCTGATCCTGGAGTCAAAAAATACTCAGCCAAAATGTGCACTATAGTGGAGAAAGTGATCACACCTGCTATGCTACATGAAAAGAGCCTGCTATGCTACATGAAAACCATACGAATGTCTATGATCCTTCAGTGTTTCTCTCTGGCCTACTATTAGGACTAGGGTTGCCAGGTGTCTGGTATTGTACCGGACAGTCCGGTATTTGCACTCTTTGTCCAGTTAAAAAAATGTAGAGAATACCAGACATGTGCAATATTCAGTATCTCTGATTTTACTGGCTGCGCACTGGACAGAAGCCTGGTGTGGGCGGAGGGAGTGGCTGGAAGGCGGGACCATGATGAGCACTGGGAGCCTGTGATTGCACAGAAGCCTGGCGGGGGCGGAGGGAGTGGCTGGGAGTCCCAGCTACTCCCCCTGCCCCCGCCAGGTTTCTGCGCAATCACAGGCTCCCAGCATCGATGGCGGCCCTGCCTTCTAGCCTGGGAGGCGGGGCCACGATCACTGCTCTGGGCACTTCAGAAGCCTCGTTGGGGTGGGGGGGAGTGCCTGGGAGTCCATCTGGCAACCCTAGTTAGGACTCATTAGTAAGGGGAAATAGACTGGAATTGCACAATAATGCCCTATGAAGACACTCGTTTTCCATACTAAGAATGCCTTTGTGTGGTTTTTCCCTAATTACATATGCACATAATTCTGGGTGAAAGAATAAACTGCAGATCAGTTAAGAATAACCAACTCTCCCAAATTGAGAAATATTGTCAAGGTAAAAGTTGGTCTGAAAAGAACCAAGTGTTAAAATTAGTAAGTTAATGCTCCCTAGACTCAGTGGTTAAGAATAACTAACTCCCATGCTTCAAGAAAGACAGAAGTTGATCAGAAAAGAACCTAGCCTTTACATTAATAAGCTAATGCTTCAAGGACTCACTGGATTAAGCAACACCGCACAAAAGGTACTATATGGAATAAGTGTGTGCATACCGCAAGTTAGTGAAGAATAGCTGTTGTGATTTTTTAAAAAAAATCACATCCTAATTTATTCTGCAATAGCTTCTCAATGTAGACAAGCTTTCAGAAGGACACTGAGCAAGACTAAGGAACACATACTGTGGTGGAATTGGATAAAATTCAGATTCCTCTGCCTTGCTAATTATACTGCCTTGACATACCTTTTATTCCTCTCCTTCTCGCCTCTTTCTCTAGGGTTGTCTCTACAGAAAGAGCAATCCATCCTACTTAGGCCAGTTCATTAGGCCATCACTCACCTCTTCATTTTAATTCCTCCTTAAAACTCCCTTCCTGCCACACTACCTACATGAAGTTATTTAATTCACCTACACCCAACTGTGTGTGTGTCTGTATATAGAAACATAGCAACAG